GGAACCGCGATGCCGAGGGCGGGCGGGGTGGTTTGGGGGGGGTCTGAGCCCATTTTGGGGTTAGGTTTGGGGCGTCTGGGCAGGTTTGGGGCTGGTTTGGGGGGATTTGGGGTTGATTCGGGGGGCTCTGGGGGGGTTTGAGCCCATTTTGGGGCTGCTTTGGCGGAATTTGGGGGGTTTCGGGGTTTTTTGGGGTGGTTCCAGTTGGTTTTGGGGCATTTTTGGGTTTGTTTTGGGGAATTCGGGCTCAGCCTGAGCGGTTTGGGGGTTTTGGGGCTGTTTTGGGGAGGTTTGGGGGGGTTTTGGGCTGTTTTGGGAGGTTTTTGGGGCTGTTTTGGGGCTTTGGGGACGGTTTCGGCCTTTGGGGGAGTTTGGGGCTGGGTTTGGGTCGTCTTGGGCAGATTTTGAGCATTTTGGGGCTGTTCTGGGTGGTTTTCAGCTTGTTTGGTTATTTTGGGGCAATTCGAGCTGCTTTAGGAAGGTTCCGGGGTCGTTCCAAGCCGATTTTGCTTCATTTTGGGTGGATTTGCTGCATTCCAGGCCGGTTTTGGTGTCACTTTAGGCAGTTTTGGGTTAACTCCGGCCGCTTTTGGGGTCTCTTTGCCCCATTCCCGCCCCTTTCGCTGGATTTTGGGGCAATTTCCTCCGCTTTTGGGGAATTCCGAGACGTTTTCACAGCGGCTCTCCGCGTTCCCATGACAACGGCGCCATTTTGTCCCGCCCCGTTCCCATGACAACGGCGCCATTTTTCCCGCCCTCGTTTCCATGACAACGGTGCCTTTTTTTTTTCCCCGCCCCCGTTCCCATGATTACGGCGCCGTTTTGTCCCGCCCCCGTTCCCATGACAACGGCGCCATTTTGTCCCGCCCCGTTTCCATGACAGCGGCGCTGGTTTTGCCCCGCCCCCGTTCCCATGACAACGGCGCCTTTTTTTCCCGCCCCCGTTCCCATGACAACGCCCCGCGGGCGGGGCTTCCCGCGCAGTCCCCGCTCATGGCCCCGCCCCGGAAGCGCCGTTTGACGGAAGCGCCGCCATTTCCGGCGCCGCCATCATGGCGAAGCTCCTCAGCTGCGTCCTGGGCCCGCGGCTCTACCGGGTCCACCGGCCCCGCCTGGCCGCCGCGGCCGCGGGGAGCCCGGCGGGGCCGCGGGACACGGAGGGCGCGGGGAGCGAGCGCGGGGAGCCGGCCTGGGTGAGGCGCGGGGCCCGCGGGGGGCCCGGGCGGGGGGCGGTTGCCATGGGAACGGCGGGGGGCGGCGGAGCTGAGCCCCCCGTGTCCCCGCAGGACTCGTACTACCAACCGCGGGGGCTGGAGAAGCACACGGACAGCGTGCTGGCGCTGGTGAGCGCGGGGAGACTCCCGGGACCCCCCCCGGTATCCCCCCCCGGTACCCCCCGGGGCCTCCCGGTGCCCCGGCCGGGGGTCTCAGCTCTCCGGGGGTCCCGCAGGCCTCGGTGCTCTGGTCTATCTCGTGCTACGCCTCGCCGCTCGCCGTGCTCTACCTGTACCGGAAAGGTGCGGGGGTCCCGGGGGGCTCGGGGGGTCCCGGGGGGGGCTCGGGGATGCTGGGGGGGTCCCGGGGCTCCAGTCTGGGACCGGGGGAGTCCTGGATTGGGCCGGGGGCGGCCGCGGCTCCGTGAGGGCCTTGGAGCAGCCGCAGGGGGGGATCGGGCGTCTCTGGGGCTGTTTTGGGGTCTCTGGGGCTGTTTCGGGGTCTCTGGGGGTGTTTTGGGGTCTCTGGAGCTGTTTTGAGGTCTCTGGGGCTGTTTTGGGGTCTCTGGGGCTGTGTTGGGGTCTCTGGGGTGTTTTGGGG